TTTTAGTACATCTGACGTGATACATGATTGGATAAATTGATATGCACGACAGTCCTATCAGATTGTCGGACGACATGCTTATTCAACGTCGTTCCCTGTAATTATATCGGGCACACCACCAAATATATCGGGAGCACGGCCAAATACATCGGGCATTCGTCCAACTTAACTGCAAAAAGGTGTAGTACTCATGAGTAGAATTGACAGGGCATTTCGGAATGAGAAAGGCCATCGTGATTGCCTTCCTACGTCGATGGCTCATCCGCCGCCGCCTGGCCAAGGAACTCTTCGCGAGACAGATGGAGTACCACTACCTCGCCTTCGTCCACAAGACACCAAAGAGGATGTCCATCCTCCGTGGTCCTCTCTGGGTGGACGAAGTCCTCTGCGGCTCTGCGCGGGTGGCATCCGGGCGCTAAGGCATTGACATAATGAACTTGGCGTTAGAGTACTGCTTGATTTTGCCGTTAGAGTACAGTACATCAGTTCCATGGCGTCCATAACGTGCGGATACGTACTGTACTGTATTTCACATATAATCTCATGAAGCTGGAACTTGGCCTTTGATGTCAACAGCGAAACGACCACAAACATCGCCATTTCTGAAGGATATTGTAGGCTCGGACGTTTCAATGTTTAACGATAAAGTATGTATTTTTAGTTGCTCAACAGGGGGAATTCACCTGGCGCAGCAAACTACAAGGAATACCCTGAAAAGACTGCTAGTATGACCAAAGTCGTCGTCGTCGCTGGGTTACAGACGTCGACCAGGCGGCGCGTGGGGTGGCATAAGCCCATGGGGTTGTTGAGTTTTGTCATTTCGCTGAATGTGGCCAGCATGGTCTGCTGCTGTTGTCTCCATCTACACCAATCTCTCGCTTTGTCTGAGATATTGCCTTTTGTAGCCGCTCAAAGCGTATTTGACCGAATCGTTTCCGTGGCAAGTGGGCCAAGTGTGGTCTCCGGACGCCGCGACGACGTTTGACATGTACAACACCGAGACTCTTGCGTCGAAACAAAGCTACTACACGGCTTCATTCTTGCACAATTATGTCATCAGCAACATCTATGTGGATCGACCCAATGCCACGACATTCATGGTCGCGGCGTTCGAGCACGACAGCTCCACACCTTGCTTGACTCGAGTAGTGCGATTGCCAGGTAATCGTTTTTCATGAACAAGATCGGTGTCAACATTGTGAAACAAGACAGTCGGTATCATAGGGGCATTGTTCTACGGCTCGGGCATTCGCAGTGTCGTGTGCAACTTTCTCGCAAACTGTACTGCACCGACGATGGGACAATGCCAACACGTTCGGTTGCTGGGGTTGCCATTGGCCGAACAGTGTGTCTGGGCCGTTCGCGACCATCCGCTAGCCGAGCAAGAAACCACCAACGTTGTCGTGTACCAAGTGATGCAGCAGTGGCAAAACCAGAAGTTCCTCTGGTGTAAACTCGCATACCGCGTCGTGCTTACCGTATACGTGTGCCGTGAAATGTACGTCAAGTACTACCGGCACTATTCCACCCTCGCGGCCAACTTTATCGACGTCGGGCTGCAAGATCCAACGCTCACAAAGATGGAAATCTACATTGGGGACCCAACCAGCATCGTTCTCAGCAACGCGTGGGTGTCGTTGGCGTTTGTGATTGACTATTGGCTCAGCGCGAACACGGTGAGCGAGTGCATCCTCCAAATCAGCCAAATCGAGGACCAAGTACTGTTTTGCAAGGCGGTCCTGTACACGTGTCGAAGCGTACGTCTGAGTCTGATTCCATCGATGTGATTCTGATCCCGTCCGTAGGTCTGGTTTTCGTACTTTATGTTGCGCTACACCACATTTGTCCTCAAACGATATAATCTCGAGCACATGGTGACCCCGCTCGACCCGACGCTCGTGGCCGTTGCCGTGCTTATCTATGCTGCCCCAATGGTCTACTTGATTTCGACGACGCCCATCATGGCTGTGCAGCATGCGTTGTGGGAGCCACTAATATCAGCTGCCGAGAAAGGCCAGGCGATCGAGATCTTTCTCGGTGCATACACAACAACTGCACTGCATGGTTTGACCCGGCATGATGTTGTGTTTGTCGTAGTACTCGTAGGAGTCACCATGGCGTTCGGGGCGGTGCCGCTGTGGTTTTCGCGTCTGTGGACATGGTGTCGAAATCGCCAAACCAAAAGTACGACCGCTCGTATGAAAACGTATCGTGGTGAAGGATACAAGTCCTCACACAGTGCTTGTCGCATATTTCCATCATATAGTTCGGGGGCCATCCCAAACGATTGTCAAGTTCTCCGAGCTCAACTTGCTCATGTTCAACGACATCAAGCAGCGCGTGGCCTTCCACATGTTTGGCCTTCAGCGCAAGTTCACCCCGTCGCAGTTTGAAGGCGGGTCCTTGTACGCTTTGCACAAGCACAACGCCAAGTATAACCGCATGCCGCTGTTCAGCCACCGCGGGTCGGACTGCTTTGTCGCGTGCTACACGGCCAGTGGCCTACTCAAATTGAAGTGTCGGCTGAGTTTGTGGCGCTGCCTTGATCGCATCGAACGAGACGACGATTTGTGTGTGCGGCTGTGTGAAACCAATCACAAGGATTGTCTTAGCCGCCTGGACGGAACGGCGTGCATGACGTTTCAGCCCACAGGACCAGCGTCGCAATGTGTGCATCGAGGGGTCAACGCCAGTCCGTGGATCTTGTGATTTACACCATGTTCTGGCTGGTCGTGGATCTGTCCCAAGTAGGAGTCGCGAGATGGGGCGTAGGAGGAACCGAGCAAGTTGGTTTCAATAGAGCGGTTCGAGTTGCAATTATGTTGCTTAAGTGTCATCGCAACCTCCCCCCGATGTACGAAATACTGCTGACCGGTTTCAATTGATAACCTCCCAACGTATCTATGGGACGAGTGGAAGGGCGGGGCCGCCACGGCATGGGCATTTTGGCTATATATCTGAATAAATATCGTTTTTGGTCTTCACGTCCCCATGCATTGACGTGGCAAACCGTCTTCTGTATGCCAAGCAAACCTAACATCCCCATTCCACCGTTCGTTCGTCCACTGGACCGCTGAAGTCTTGACAACGTGAAACCCTCGTTCGAAACGTTTCTTCTCCAGATTTAGGCCATGGTCTTCATATGAATGCATTCGAATTTGCCAACCCAAGGTCTACAACAAGGGGGTCGCCTCGAGAGACCCGGCTCCAGCAGAAGCTGCGTCCACGACCATCCCTCGACGAATGATACAGTATGCACAAACCCATAGCGATATTGAGCTTTGTCATTGCTCTCAATGTCGCGAGTATTGTACGTTGCAGAAAATTCGACTTGGTCAAACCACACCGAAGAAACTGTAGCCCCTCCAGGCGTTTTTCAGCGGATCGTTTCCTTGGCAAGTCGGCCCGGCCACGTCCGTCACCATCGCCGCCAACTTGTACAACGACGCCACCTTAACCAAAGTGCAACGGTACTATGGCGTGGCATACATCGATCGCAACCACCGCATTGTCATCGATCGGATCAATGCCATTATTCATGCACACAACAATTTGGCTTGACGACATCCAAGCCCCGTGCCCGTCCCTCGTTCCATCTTCCCTGGTATCCCCTTCCGTTTTCGCCTTATCCTGGACACCCTTCCAGGCGCGTTCTTTTACGGTTCTTTCTTCATTACGGCCATCTGTGTCTTGATTCAACAACCCAACGCATCGTCGATGGCCATAGGTCAATGCCACCACATTCGAGAAATGGGCTTCCCCTCGCCGAGGAATTTGTGTGGATCGTTCAAAAACACAACGAAAACGGCAATGTCCACGTGTACCAAACCATGCAGCAAGGAAAACATCCTGTTTCTCTGGTCGCCACTTCTGTGCGCGTTGGCTTGCAACTAGACCCGTGCGTGGTAGAGTGGGATCGAACCATAGCCAGAGGATGCGAGTCCAGAGGAGCTGAGCCCGAGGACATGGCCATCAGTCGCCTGGCAGAAGGGACCCACGAGCACTTGCATGACTTTGTAGCCTCAACACGTTGTTCATCGTAAACATGGCCGCAATGATTATTTGCTAGCTCTCGTACAGACGACACATTACAAATGAGAGGTACTGTAGAACAGTACTGTATTACATTTGGAACAGTCGAATGCGATCGATACTGGAACTCGGATAGTCGCCGCCTGGCCTTTCAGCGGGCGCTGAACGACCTGTCGATTACGTCGCCGATCCACCAAATGCTCATGCAGATGCTGCCGCACATGTTCACGGTGCCGTCATTCCACACGGAGAGTCTTAAGTGCGTCCTTTCTGGCTGCAAGCTCGTCGGAAATGACTGCCAGCCTCTGGTGCATCCGACATGGGCGTGTTAGGGGGATTGGCAGTGACCACGGGGGTCGAAGGTGGCTTCAAATCTGGGTTTCCCGTCGACGACGACGGAAGAAAAAGTCTGACGGGTGGGCTCGTCGTGGGTGGCGAGAACGCAGACACAGCCGGCGTAATCGGCGTCGTCGTTTGGCACTTGAGAGGGGCCGCTGGTCGTTTCAGCTGAGACGTCTTGTACATCGATGGCGGGTCCCGCGCTGACTGGTCCAATGGCGCATAACGTTGTTTTGGTAGTGTGGGTTTGGAAATCGACGAGCAGGACAAACAGTTTGCTTTTAGAGGATGGCGCCGCCGTGCGTCCGCCACGACAGCAGCATTGTTGATGTTGACATTGACGAATAAGATGACGAGGAGATATGATGGCAGCGGGGGGTTTGGTTGGTTTGCCTTCAACGACCCCACCTCCAGACGCGGCGGCGGCCGCGCTTGGCTGGCACCCGGCGTGGACGACGTTCATTCCCACGCCCTTGAACACCTCGACCAGGAAGTCCAGTCTTCAATGATTGGAAGCAATGCCAGCAGGCTTTTGCGATGCTATGTACTCGTCGGTCTTGGGTTAGTTTTAATGGCTACGCCGGACCAGTTTGTAGTCTAGTTAGTGATGAAGTGCTTCCACGAAGGACTGATGGCTCTCAACTTCGTTGAACTCGGCGGCTCTTGCATGGACCGCTTTCATGAGTCGTGTTATGAGTCGAATCAAGGTCCTACCGCTGTCGAACCTTTTGCTCTTCCAGGCTGCAATTTTGTCCAGGTGTTCACAGTTTACTGGACCAAATCCTCAGCTATTGTACTGTACTATACATACTTACTATTAATACTAGTCCAGTTCTGTACTAGTTAGTATACTACCTAGTACTACATGGTTACCTGTGGCTTTACCTTGGTGGAAATGCAGCTTCGTGACAGCCCAGTTGCATTTGGTGCAACCACGTCACGACCTCCACTTGACCATGTGTCGCCGCCATGGTTGCAAATTGTAACCGCCAAAGGTCATGACCTTTCAAGATACCAAATCCGAAGATGAACAATAGCCCAGAATACGTCCCTGGTACATGACGAATTGACGTTAGCTACATATGTTGGTTCGAGTCGAATGCCAAAATGCATCCATGTGTCTTGTAGACCGGTCGTCCACGGTGACCCCTTCGTTCCTTCGAGCATGCGCCGATGCAAACAACGTAAGTCTGTGCAGCTCATGGTGTTTTCATCGAGTCAACACGTAGAGGTCGTTGGTGGAATTGCGACGCCTAGAGCTCCAACGTATTGACATTCGCAATCAGCTGGGCATTTCCAAAGCTACAATGGCCCAGGTACCCCCATCATTTAAGCACGAGTTGTCACCTTGTTCACTTTGCAGTGGACGGCGGAGCATCAAGCCCTAGTGGCCAACGGCGCCTTTGACAACTCGACACCAAACACTCCTCAAACATAGTATATAAGCTACAACCAAGTTACAGAACAAGCACTAATCCTAACAAATGAATGCAAGTTATAGTTTACGGTACTACTGTGCTACGTTGTACGTAGTACTCGCGAACCATACCTGGCATGACATTGCTCTTTGAACGAGTCTAAATTGTCTATGGATTGTATGCATGGCTGAGGAGGACATTTCGTCATACGTCATCAATGTTAAATCAACACCAGCATTTGGACGGTGGGAGCCCCATATGTCGAAGCCACTTTTGGTTTCAGTCGGAACGAGCTCCACTTCGACTGCCAACGACCGCGCCAACAGTACTTGTCCGAGAAATCAGCCAAGAGCTGCTAACGTTCAGGTAAAATCCCCATGTAAGAACACTTTTTCCGAGACGCTACCGTGGAAGGCATGTAACTCGACGCTATGAGTAGTTCTACAATATGTTACATCAAGGCAAAATCCAGGCAAGTTATTTGGGTTGATATGTTCCCTGAATGCATGTTTGATTATTTGATTACCATCGACATTTTGAAACTAGCTGGAACATCGAACAATATGGACGACGACGACGACCGCGGAGACGACACTGCACCATGGGATGTATACGAGGACTTGAGCTTTTTGTTCGTACATAACGATGCGCTCCACATGGAGTTCTCATACGTGTGCGATTTGTTGTCCGAACCAGCAGGCGGCGCCAACGCTTCGTCCGCCCCATCCCTGCTACACCCAGGGAGCTCGTCCACTGCGGCATCCTCGTCCACCATCCCAAGTCCCGCGAGCTCGTCAAAACGCAAGACGGTCATGACAAACCCCTCTTGCATTCGACAGCCAACATCAGATCAAGCTTCTTCGGCAAGCAGGTCGACGATTTGAAAGTGCAGCTACTGACCGCACAAGATAACGCCGCGTCACGCTTCAACCTGAACGTGTGGAAGCGCATTGCACGTCAGGAACAGTTTGAAAAGTCCAAGGCCATGGTCGAGAATGAGCAGCTTCACGCAAGAAGCCACGCTTAGCGGTACGATCCCCGTCACCTCGTCCTATTCCCGTGCATATCTTGCTTAGACGTATACGGACACGCAGTCTATCGAGTGGCAAGGCTTGGCAGCACAAGCCTCGCTCCGCGTTGTTGCAATCCACGCAATCGCGGACCGACAGTATCGGCGACAGCAGTCGGCGATTGTAAAAGCTGGCTTGGTGGACCATACAGTAGCACGGACGACATCACGCGGGCCACACCCATGCCCCAAGCAGACAACAGCGTGCTGTTGGAGTACGTGTACCACATCACATTGGCTGCGCCGTACGACCGCATTAACGCGGTCTGGAACGTCTTTAAACATGGGCCGCCACTGCCCGACGGCGCCACCCAGGTATGTTAGATGCCTAGAGCAGATCCTGGGGGATTGTCTTGACGAGTCAGGTTTGTAGTCGTTTGAGCAAGTGGATGAGCACACAGTGTAACAGGCATTTCGTCGAACCCGGGCCAACCTAGTGAGTGGCAACCCTCACGAAGACACTGCGCACGCCAACATTGTGTGGAAGTACATCCAGGAGCCTCCCCATCGCCAGGTCGTTGTGTGGCGCGCAGTGGTGGACGATGCGCTCGTGACACATATGGCCAACGGCGCCGTACATGACGAATGGGGCTGGTACGTGCCCGCAAACGGGGGGTGATACAGTAAGTTGCCCAGTGTGGTTAGCATGGAGGATGGGTGGGTGGGTAGGGCGGTTGTGGCGCCGCTGGACGATGCCTCCACGTGTCGACTGACGCTGCTGCTTCAGGTTGTGGCAGACCCGGTACAGGCCGAGAGCCGAGGCAGCCCCGACGCGCTCGTGGACGAAACGATGTCTCAGGTGGAGACGTTTTCGTTCGTTCGCCCCCCAACGGCACCGGGGACGTTTCCGGGGCCCCGTTCGTGGAAAAAGAGGTCGACGCGATGGAGCTACCGTTTTGGAAACGAACGTTCATGGAGCTGTTTGCAAGATAGTAAACATACATGTACTACCGGTATTCGACCTATACTAGGTTTTTATGGTGCACAGTGCAACAAGATACGATATGTGACATGCCGTTCAAACGTGAGGTCCACAGGTATACAGTAGTAAGTAGTAGTAGTACGGTGACCCGTAGTACTCCTCTACCAAGGGCAAGAGCGTCGCCTTCTACACGCGCGGAATCCATGCCATATCGTGGGCTTTGAGCTTTTCAACGACGTAGCGCTCGAGGCCACTGAGTTCCTTGGGGTGTTGCTTCGCCTTGACATGTTGAATGTAGAAAAAGTAGTCGAAAAAGTTGTGCACGTGGTGGATGTGGCGGCTAAAGTTGTTCGGGTGGCCTCCGTCCAAGTTCTCGATGGCGCTGCGCGACCGGTTGCACACCAAGCAGCGCTCTCGTTTCAGCGCCGCCTTGGTCTCCGTCTGCTCCCGCACCGCCGTAAACGCATCAATGATAATGCCTTGGACCATATTGAGGAACAGCGTGATCACAAGCACGAAAAACGCCAGGTCGTACACCAACCGCTCAAAGTATCGCCCGGGGTTTCCAAAGTCCAATTCGTGGCTCAGCGTCGACGAAATGTAGTCCCCAATCCCGCCCCCCGACAGCAGGCCTGATTGATGTACAAGTCTATTAGTCGGAAAGTACGCCTTCGAGGGGGAGAAACAAGGTGGTGTAATATACCATAGCGAATATACGTCGTGTAGCATTGCAGCAACGTCGAGCAGTGGCTCACGGTGTGGTCTTCGCATTCGAGCTCGACTTGGAGGTGGAAGAACCCCACGAGCGAGAATAGGTAAATCAAAATCGCCCCAAACACGGCCGTGACGCCCAATATGCCCATGTTCGAGTGCATCGCCGTAGCCTACTCACCACGAACTTTATCATCTTTTAAATGTCCATGGCATTCAGAATCTATACACGCACATGAAGCCTCCACTCGTACTCGTAAAGATGCATGTATATAAACATCGACAACGTCACGGCATATATATACTGTATATAGAAACTCAAACGACACAATAGACCTACAATGAATCGAAGGTTGTCGTTCGTGGCGAGAATATCCACGAGTGGACACCCAAAAAACATAAGCCCCCACGGCCCGACGTCAAAATACGTCGTCACAGCTGGGATGGACAGTCCCAGCCCACAAATGGCGCACAGCGTGTACGCTCCAAACGTGATCACGGAGCCCGACAAGAGCGTATCATACAGCACACTGTACCAGAACGACGCCAATGTCGCGACGACGTTCGCGTCCGCGGGATTGTCCACGTTGACAGTGAATCGGTAGAGCCGGCACACATGGCGCACGCCTTGCAAAAACGCCCCAAACAGCCACAACACAGACACGGCCGCCAAGATCTTGGTCGTCGTCGTCACCATGTTCATGTAGAAAATGACCAGAAAGATAGCGACAAAGAATTCTACGCATCAGCCAAACGTCAGTTTGCCCCTGCCACGCGAGCAACACGAATGCAGTCCAGGACAACAGGAATAGTGGAAGACCATATGTACAACTTCGAGGGGAGTGATAAAGTCGAACCAAGGTAGCCAGCAAACGCGCCAAACCCATGCAACGTGCTGGCCCAGTAGTCGGACGAAGTCGTGAACGACAGCTTGAGGGGGGACACGTGCTGCTTGCAATAGTTGAAGCAAAACGTGGTCAAGGCGTGGTACAGCCACAAGGCGGTGCACACTCCGAGCAAAACAAACCCGAGCGCCCCCACGACCCACAAACCCTAGAAACGAACCGACGTCAAGACATCCCATAGAAACAAGTCATACCGAGCGCATGTTGGCTTGGTGGACGTCCTCCACGGTGCTGTGGTTCACTTGCACACAGAGCAACATGACAAAGTTGATGTAAAAGCACAGCCGAAGCATGTTCTTGCGCAGCCACACATGCCACTTGTTCATGATCGAGTACGACGGGTTCTTGACCAGGCCTTGGATCACAGTGAGCTCTTCTTCAACGTCACTACAACTTGACTGAGATCATCGTTGGGGGGGGTGAAGCTAGAGGCTTACTTGGCGACGTCGGAGGTCAGCACGTCCAGCGCGCGGTCGCCGCCAATGTCCATATGATCGATCAGCTTGGCTCGGAGCGTCTCGTTCAAGTACTTGGCCGTGGGGGGGCGTAGAAAGTACGTTGTGAGGATCGCCCCGTTTCGTGCGATTTCAATGGAAACGACCTCGCGTTGGAAGAACGCCACCGCCGCGAATGCTTTGGGGTTGGCCAGCGCTTCGTACCACTGCGTTCGGTACGACTCGATGGTTTGCTTGTCGTACAGGAGATGCAGCACGATACAAAACAAGTGGATCGCGGCATGGAAGTCGTGCAAGTTGCGCTGCAACTCGTCCTTGGACGTGTCCGTGTGCAACAAACTCTTGGTCATACTCAGCGTGTGATGCAGAAGGGATCGATGGGCCGGCGACTGCTTCCACTCTTCGATCGCGCGATAGTGCACTTGCAAGCGCTCGACGACCGCCGACACGGGCATCACTGCCGCCAAACATTCATGAAGGGTGCCGTCCGCTCGGCCTTCCATGAGGATGAGCAATACTTCCGCGGCGCATTTCTGCACTTGCATCTGAAGCGTCTCCGCCGTCCCGGGGCCGAACGAGATGCCATCCATCACGAAATCTCGCACAATCGTCACGGCGTCGGACGAGGCCACCAACAGCTGGTTCTCCTCGGACGGGCCTTGGCAGGCTTCGCAGAGAAAGGTCATCCACGACACGACTGTTGGTATATCAGCGGACGAGATGATCGACGGAATCCCCGCCACCCTCGCGAGAACAACGTCGAGAAGGGACAAGCCGTTCAAGGTGACAGGAACTTGCATCATGGCCTGCCACTGGCTGTGATGATACATGCACACCTGTGTCATAATGGCGACGATGTTGGTCGAGTTTTTCTCCAAGTGGCGCAGCAGAAACTCCAACACTGCGCTTTGAGAGTCCGAGGCCGCATAATACAACGCGTTTTGCACGTCGACAGACCCCCAGGCCGAGAGTTCGTACAGCAGCTCGAGTGATGCTTCGTCGTGGACACGCTGACCGATCATGCGGACCAAGAGATCGGCCAAGTTAGCGTTGACGGCATCTGCAAGTAAGTCGTTGTAGTGCTTCTCGGCGTACATGAGTTTCTTTGCGTTGGCTTCCGCGTCGAACGAGAGGAGCCACTTGTCCGTCGACTGAGTTTCAGCCAACGCTTCAATGGTCTCGCGGGCTCCCCAAAGCACACGGATGATGCTCAACATATGCTCGAAGCTGCCGCTCAAGTCAAGCTCCTGGTTGGCAAGTTCGCGATCGAGCGATGCTTTCAAAGCCGCGATTGTGTCGGCAAATGCGCGGTCCTCGTCAGCAGATTCACTCGGTGGAGATGCCTCGTCCAGCGGAGTGTACACCTTGCGGTCTGCATTCTGCATCAAACTCGTCGCCTCCGTCGGTGTCATATTGGCAAGTGAGTCCAAGTTCTCACAGTTGTGGTCCAACTGGCACACGATCAACTGACCAGTCATATAATATATCCAAGTCGAAGTAGCCAAAGGTGAATGAACTCCGTGTGGGATTGTTGAATGCAGCCAATGGAGTTCCAAACTGCCTTCGCATGCTACAGTTGTACAAGCCTACAGTGTTGCATTTCGCCGAGCTGATCGTTGTCGACAAATTAGCAACCGGCACCACCTCTGCCCATGATTGGACTGAAACAATGACAACAAGAGCAAAACTCAAACGGGTTCGCCAAGGGTCCTCCAGAGCGCACGTCTCGCGCAGCGGGAGTTGAAGGAACCTTACCATCAAGCGGACCTTCTCAAGCGCGTTCGTTTCCTATGTCGATTCGTAGCAACCTCCACGTGGCGACCAAATGTTGCCGTGGTGGCGAGCTGCTCCAAAACCAACGGGTTCAAAAGGGTCGGCCGACCGAATGGGCCCAAAATCAGGGAGGCTAGTCGATGCTGGTGCTGCAAATTACAGTTGCAGTTTTAGATTTCAAGGTTTTGGCAAGCACTCGTACGTGGTCGAAGGGACAGCTTTCTTGGACGAGGGGGCTCGTTTCGTGGCTACAACCAACGTTTCGTAGACGTAGCAGCAGGGTGCTTCTTAGGAAGCGTCGACGGGGTTGGTGTTGGGGCATGAGTTTGTTTGGAGGAGGTTCTCGTGACACATTTCACAGGAGAGGGAGGCGCGATGGTGGATGTAACGTCCGCTGAACAGCCATACCGGTTGTCATGAGATGTTGACTTGAAATGGAGATGTTAGTCAACGACCTTCATTCTCAATGGGAAAAACACCGCTTGTATCGGCACTGTCACGCGAAAGCAATTATACCATCACTCTTGTTTGTCCCATTGGCATTACGCAGTGATTGTCATTGCTGGATCCCACCCAAAAACACACAGAGGTGTTTTTCCCACAGAGAATGAAGGTTGTTTACCCAAGAAAACACCACCATCTCATTTTTCATTCAACGATCTCACGAAGATGGCCGCCAAGCGAAAAGCTACGTCAACTCTCACGCCTACCTCTCCTGTGAAACGTGTCACGAGAGGCTCCTCCAGACCAACTCCTGAGCCATCAGCAACCCCCTCCTCGACGGCCCCTAAGAAGCAACCTACTACTACTTCCAAGAAAGCCGCTGCTATTTTAACGAAATCGGCGACTTCGTCCAAGAAAGCTGCCTCTCGAAAGGCTGGTAAATCCAAACCCGCACCAGTGGCGCCAGCGTCGGCTAGTCTTCCTGCGTTTTCATTTGGTGGTTTCGGAACTCCATGTCCAATGCCCGCGCCAACTATGCCAACGCCCACATCTAGCCCAGCCATCGCTCGCCCATTGGACGAAGTGTACAGCCGGAGCCTTGGTGCATCGTCTGCATCCGTAGTGGGCGACTACGACGTCATGTTGAACCAAGTGGCCATCACGGCATCCACTAGCAACAACAAGTTTTACCGGATCCAGCTGATTCAGCAAAGCCCCAACATGTGGAATGTCTACAGTCGATGGGGGCGGGTAGGGGAAGACGGGGTCTATCGTCTGTGGGGTCCCATGGCCACGCTGGAGGACGCAGAAAGGGTGTTTTGCCAAAAGTTCAAGGACAAGTCCAAGAACAACTGGGCCGACCGCTACAACTTTGTGCCCAAGAAGGGCGCGTACGAAATGGTCGAGCTCGACGAAAAAGCCGCCATGGTGTCGACCTCGGACGGACCCAAAGTCATCGGCGACGACTCGGTCCCGTCTCAATTAGCACCCCCCACCCAGAAACTCATGCGCATGATCTTCGACAAGGCCATGTTCAAAAGTGAACTCGTCCGCATGCAGTTGGACCCGAAGCGCATGCCACTCGGCACCCTCAGCATCAACCAAATCCAAAAAGGAGTGGCCGTGCTCGACACTCTGCGGGATTCCCTCGATGCTGGACAAGTCACCACAAGCCACCTGCAAACGCTGTCGGCCAAGTTTTACCAGCTCATTCCGCACGCGTACTCTCGGTCGACGATCCCCCCAGTCCTCAACACCCCCCAGCAACTCGAACAAAAGTATGAGATGTTATCTACTTTGCACGATATCGTGGTGGCGCAAGACGTAGAGAAGGCTCTGGGGGATGCCGCCCCCACGACCAAACACAGCTTGGACCTGAAATACGCTGAGCTCAACGCTGGCTTGGACGTGGTGACACCGGACGACCCGTTGCACGAAGTCATTATGCAATACGTTGCCAACACGAAAGGCACAGGAGGCGGTGGCTTCAGTTGTTATGCAAGCAAGTTGGTTGTGCAAGACATTTGGGCCGTGCGTCGAACCCCCGAAGATCAATCATTTTCGTCCTTCGATAGCACCCCCAACCACCGACTGCTGTGGCACGGCACCAACGTGGCGGTGGTGGCGGCGATCCTTAAGTCTGGACTTCGCATCATGCCGTCGTCGGGGGGACGAGTCGGCAAAGGCATTTACCTGGCCAACATGCTGGAAAAGTCCAAGTCATACGTGCGACCCACGCACGTCGATGGTCACAACATAGGCTGCCTCTTCTTGGTCGAGGCGGCGCTGGGCAAGATGCACGAGATCCGACAGGACGACTCGAGACTGACCAAAGCACCAGCGGGGTACGACTCTGTGCTGGCCAAAGGCACTTTGCACCCAAATCCGGACGAGGACCGGATCGTGCAATTGGATGGTCAGGACGTTCGGGTCAACGTAGGCCGCCCCGTGACATTGAAGAACGAACACTCGTCGTTCCACCACGACGAATATTTAGTGTACCAAGAGTCCCAGCAACGACTGCGCTACATCATTACGTTCAAAATGTAACAAGTTGAACCATGTATGTACTATATTTGACCTTGTTCGTCAAGATGCATATGACGCCGAAGCCTTAACGTTAGAGTATTGGAAGGAAGAGTAAAGTGCCAATGAGACGCGAAGTTCCAATGAACATTTGGTTCTCTAACATCCATTCCAGCCTTTCAAGACTGGTGGATGTTCGAATGTGGGGGGGGGGGACTCGATTGAGATGCGACTTCCCGCGAACTATTCCTGTAGTACAGGGCAGTTGTTAGATTGAGTACAGTAGTAAGGACTTGACCTGGTTGTTAAACAATTTCGCGCTAGCTTACATCATTGATGTCAAGAGCCACTGTACTAGTACTGTCTCCACAGATGCCATGAGATCGTATACGCAACCAACACGGTTGCAATGCCGTGAGGACGACGATGTGGCCATGGTGTGACCCAACGCGTCTGCGTAGGCGGCGGCTACGGTGTGTTTGCTCATGTCAACACGTTTGCCATAGTATGTAGTCAGGACCACCACGTGGGTGGACTAACCATGACGTCATGTTGCTGATCGCTCGTTCCACGTCGTCACATATCGCAAGCCTCGTTCGACGTAGTAGTGGCTGGGAAATGGAAAGGTGAACGGGTTCGATGCGAAAGAAACAATATGGACTTCATGACATAGGTCACCTCACAACCCTCGCCTCGCACTCGAGACGATCCAATCGCGTGTTCTAAACACATGATCTGCTTTCGTACGACGTGCTTGAGTGGTTTATTTTCAAGCAATACCAATTCTTCACTCGATGCAGTACTCTTGCTTCGCGGCGGTCGGTCACTTGGATGTGCTTTAGCTGGCGGCATGACGATCGCGCAGGTGACACACTTCGACTGTTCCACTTGGTGTCAAAGTTGAACGATTATCTTTCTCTTGTTGCAGATCAAACGAATCCTGTGGCTGTTTGGTTGTGGAGTTGTGGACGTCGGCTGCCCCTTGGATACATTCCAATCATCATTGCCATTCCCAGAGCTCGATGAATGACTGGTCATAGCTGCTCCATCAAGAAGAAGTATCTCTCATACACATTGGCAAGGTCTTGCTGTATGTAGCTCATCGTAATTCGCAAATGACCGGATAGTGTTTCCGGAAGGCCATGATCATCGTGTAACAGTATTGGGCCAATGGTACGCCGTCATTTTACAATACTGTACTTCAAAATGGCTTCCAAAAACGACGGTGCCGACGACGAGACATCATGGACAAACTTGCTGGACCTTCCGACGTTGCTGGCAACGGATGACCAGCTCTATAGTGACATAGAACAACTCTTCACCATTCTGGATGATTCTGTCCTTGAAGAAGAGCTTCCGATTTCAACCAACACCACGACGCATCCTGTATCCATATCGTTGCTCCATCAAGCAGCTACTTCCACTGGCATCTCTGAGCTCTCAAACACCCTCACAGCTACCTCATACAAACCATGTCGTCGTCGTCGAACTGCTACACATCAAGAGCGACAAAAGCACGAGCTGCTCGTGCTTCGACAACAAGTCGTCCAGATGAAAGCCCTCTTAGCTGCCAAGCAAGCGACGAGTAACAACATTCAAATGTCGGCTTGGGAGCGCGCAGCTCGAGCCGAATGCAAAGAAAAGTGGATGTCCATGCAGGAGAACGCACAACTCATCGGCGCCGTCCATGAGCAAGCCACGTTCATCGAGCACATGCAACGACTGCTCCATAGCCACGACCACCACCTTCACGTAATGACGCTATGTATGCCACTCCTCAACCCCTCTGGTCACGCATGTTGGTTCTAGTTAGACAACAAGGATGCATGGCAGGTGTATCGTCTGGCCGCACACGAGTCGCTTCGCATCGCTGGGATCCACGCGATCGCCGACCGCCAACTCCGTCGGATGCAAAACGCATTCATCCAAGCCGGAGTCTTTGAAACATCAGACAACACCTTCCGCGCACATGTCCGTCCAGACAAGGGCGGGTCCTTTCGATTTGAACTAGTCAATAGCGTCACGTTGCCGGCGCCATTCGCCGTGGTCGCCGCAGCTGCATGGCACGTGCACATGGGCGGACCGTCGGCTCCCAGTTGGCCCGACGGCACCACAGAGGTATGTATATATGTACCTAAAAGTGCAATGGCTTGACCCAGCGTCTGTTGATTGCCGTCTGTAGGTCGTGGAAACCATCGACAGTCATACCGTGTACAGCAAACTCACGCATCATGTCCATCATGGCGGAGTGCCAAGTCACGCCAACGTCATCCGCAAGCAGTTCCTACATCCAGCTCGACACGTGATTGTGTCGCGCAGTGTGCTGGAAGACGCGCGGGACCCGCTCATGTCGACTCGGACGGTCGAAGACAAATGGAGCTGGTGAGTGTCTAGTTACAGCAAGGCGGCCATACGACCTTAAGTGTGGTGTGCGCTTATCATGTCGTTGTTGGTCTGTTAGGTTGGAACTCGCCGCGTGTCCAGACGATGTCACATCATGTCGATTGACGTATGTGGTTCAACTGGGCATGGGACACACCCATCGGTTGCTCATCACAGACGACGAAGTCGCTGGCATTCAAGCCATGCTACAACACGTGTCGATGAGTGAGAACGACGAGGCAACACAAGATGACGGAAGCCTCGATAGGACGACTCCCCAACGCCCACACATGCTCAGCTTTGTGGAGCGGGGCAAACGATACATCCACGCGCTACATGGCGCAGTGAACAAGGCCATTGGAGTGTACCATCGACAAAACAGAGGCAACGCTTAAAGGTACGTTGCATTCAACATGGGTGGTGGGTGGTCGTTCGCACCTTGCATGCTCATTGAAGCTTGTCCGCGCTGGTACGCACGCCACTGAATCCGACGGCGTCGACGAAGTGGCTGGGAATCTTGAAATCCACGATGAGAAAGTGCGAAAGAGGAGGAGGACTCTGGAGTGGTCTTAACGTTATAAAGAGCTCTAATAATATTGTGGATGATTCGATACGAATTTCCAGACCCCGTCGAATCGAATATCTCGCCGCCGAATCGAATCACGAATCGACGCTATTGGCTACTCCATTTTTAAGTGGATTTGATTGGCTCGAAAGGACAAGTATATTCAACCAATCAGAATTCGAGCGCGATTCGATATTGATTCGACAAACAAGGTGCATTTTGGAAGTTTATAGCGAATTCACAATATTATTGTCAAATCCGTGAGTGGACTTTCCAGTATTAATAGAATCGAATGAATTAGGCAAGAATGACCTAGCCAATCAAGTTACACTATTCACAGATTCAAACCATTCATCGGCCCTACATTGAGTACCCGGTTTCGCTATAAACTTCCTAAATTCGCGCGGTTTGTCTAACGTTAATCAATATTGAATCACGCTGGAGTTCTGATTGGTTGAATATTCTTGTCGTTTCAGTAAGAGCCAATCACATCCACTCAAATTGGATAATAGCGTCGATTCGTGATTCGATTCGGCGGGGTCTGGAACTCTATGCCATAGTGACTCGGACAAATATTTGCTTGATAGGGCAATACGATCGCACTTACGAGGATTGAAATATCAATCAATCACACAAATATCGCATCGTAACGTTATAACTCGGGATATTAATATATTCAAATTATCCACAGCTACGTCCAATACTAGTATAACGTGACCGATCAGTGATCCGCCAACTGACCAGTGATCCGCCAAAACATTTTATCCAATAATATGGTTTCTCGAATTGTATTGGACAAAACAAAACCTCTTACAATATTGACCTCGTGAGAAATTATGCACGAATTGTCCAACACTCCAACCTGTGAATACCTCAAACGTTCATACATTTCTAAAACTAATATACCTTTATCATATTATATTTTCAGCTAAAGATTTTGGATTTTGTTAAACTGAATTCAATACTCACTTCAAGTATATATTTTGGCGGATCACTGATCGACTGTGTAAATTGCTCAACTTTCTAAACTAATTGGAGAAACATGAACTGTCAGATCCGATCGGGTAATTCAAGAAGGAAAAAATCCAAATTTTGGCGGATCACTGATCGGTCACGTTATCGGATAAATTGATCAGTACATGAGAATATGGCAGACTACGAGGCCACTGCACCAACTGAACCATGGGAGCTCCTCGACGACCTGCAGTTCCTGATCGCGACCGACGAAGGGTTGCTCGATGGACTAGATCGTGTATGTGGTATGCTAGACGACAGCGATCCTAGCGAAGTATCGTTGGACACGCGGTCGGTCACTCCCGTGGATGCCAGCGGCAACTCAAGTACTGCTCAGCCTCCGCCGCCACTGGCGAATGGGACCAAGCGAAAGTACAAACGCACGACGTTCGAAGCGCGTCAAAAGCTTGAGATGCAGCTCCTGCGCGACGAAGTGGAGTCGTTGAAGGCCACGCTGCGCGACCCGAACCTGTCGCGCCAACTCATCACATCGTCTTCCTCCATGTGGAAATGCAATGCCCAGCGCGAACGTTTCGAAATAAACAAGTCGCTGCAAGAGAACGAGGAGCTTCGGGAGGCGGTGGACGAACAAGCCACGTTTATCGACCACATGCAGCGAGTGTTCACGAAGAAACCTCGACTGGCGGTACGCCCATAATCATCACTCCCAATGATTCCACGGCACATGCATTTAGATTCTGCGCGATGTTGATTCAGCGGAATGGCAGGCGTACCGCGTGGCGGCCCAAGACTCGCTCCGCGTTGCCGCCATCCACGCCATAGCGGACCGCCACTTCCGCCGCATGCCGACTGCCTTTCTTCGGGCCGGCCTTGTGCACGACCAACCCACCCACGACATGATGCGCACGAGGGTACTGCCGCAGTCACACGGTGTCACATTGTTTGAAATTGCCAATCACATCACGCTGGCCGCGCCTTGGAGAGACGTCAGCGACGCTGCATGGAGTGCCATCAGTGGCCCTGCGCTCTACCTTCCTCCGGGCATGTCCGAGGTACCCACATTGCCCTTTTGAATCCCTACTGAATATTGTGCTTTCGAGTGAAATTTCGTGTTGTGGTGTGGTTTCTCATTGGAATTTAAATCGATTTGATTGGCTACTTCAAAATTATTAGCCAATCAAAACCTTCTCAATGAAATTCAACCAATCAGATCGATTGTGGATCGGTTTGGTCGGCGCGATTCGATTAAATTTGTATCAAATGGACAATACTTGTATTTTATATTGAATATCAGTAGATTTATGAAGCAGAGGGCTGCTTCATAAATCTACTGATATTCATTTTCTTCAAATTTTCCATTTGGGGACATCTGATTGGTTAATATCCTCCCGATAGAAATCCAAAATGATATTGTAGCCAATCAGCGACAAGGAGAGATTGGTGCTCAATCTCCAGTAGTTTGGTTTGGAATTTCTATTACTTCGAAGTATTTCTTTCCCATTCTTGTATATAACAACTAGCTTTTCTATTTATATTAATTTTAATATTGCCTTGCTACATATATTTCAAAGTAGTCAATTATGTATCTAAGACCTCCATTATCACGTGTCATGAAGGAATTTGAAGTGTTGGGGGCGCGCACAGTGTACAGTCGCATCACAGACGCCCGCAACCCCACGAAACGGTGGCACCAGAACCTCATTCGCAAGCATTATCCCAGCGCAGACAACGAACAGCGGGATGTATTTATTGCGCGGGCCGTCTTGGAAGATGCGCTGACGCCGTACACGCCGCATTCGTCGGTCGAGAACAAATGGGTGTGGTACGTACGTGCGACAAGCTGTGTGAATGCGCCACGTCACAGAAACTCCTTGTCACATATTTGGACGTAGGATGCAAGTGGCGGCCGACCCCCATGTCCCCAACTCGTGTCAGTTTACACTGTTAGTGCAACTTCAGCTCGAAGGCGACGATGCAGCGGCGGTGGAAGATGGTTCTGAAGTAACGTTCAAAATGAACCAGCTGGGCGTGGTGGACAGGCCGGGGTTTTTGCCGTCGACGCCGTCGATGCTGCACCTGGACCCGTCACGACTGCCGCCGTCGCACCTCCGCTTGTTCGTGGAAGGAGGGAATCGCATGCACGTTGCTGTCACCACGGCAATCAATGCCGTCGTACATCGGTACACTACTCGCTCCTCCTGACAGCTTCCTGATCTTAAGTTTCAAAAATCACAAATCCTGAAGTGTGGACGTTGGTCAGAATCCACGGATAGTTCAACTAGTACGACTACTAGTAGTACTACTGTACTACTATACGGTAGTAGTAGCAGAATTGTGTGATAAAGATATTGTCCTTTTACCCAAAATTTGGACGTTTGTGCAAAATTGCCAAATCTACCGATCGATTATTCTTTGTAGTTACTGAATTTTGTATGTAAAAAGATGTTCGGAGGTGATTGGTATCACACTAATTAAAGTCACACACTAAGTTTACGTTGACGATGACTTCCTGCAATCTGATTGGCTAAATCCTTCTGCCGATTCTTCTAGTTGGGTGGATTCATTCTCCATGTCGCTGGAGTTTAGAATATAAAGACCACAATACGATCAAGGCAGTCGGTTCAATTCGAAGCTGTCCAGAGTGTATGGGAGGGCTGGCTGGCTGGCCGACCAACCCGTGACGGATCAACTGCCTTGGCAATAATGTGGATTTGTTTGTGGCCAATGATTACAATGACGTTAGTTGTGGTTTGGCGTGGGTTGGGTTGCTATCTATCTTGTTGGGCTCGGACAATAGATGCAATTCTGGTTCCCAGTAGTCGCTGCACGCTTCGACCAGTCTCGATGATGTTGCGGATGCCCACACTATTAGTAATCATGCTGTCGGCGTCTGTCACGAACGCCGGCAAGCAAGGAAAGGTTGACGGTTGGGTTGGGTCGGGTCGGGGGAGATACTTCGCTTGGTCATCACCTCTGCCAAGTCGAAAAGTACGGCCGCTCCAAATCCACGCGAACCACAAACGTAAGGCGGCACGTCGAGTCGGTTAGCGGCACCACTTGCACCCTACGCCAGGCCACACATCATACATCCACGAGTACTTGTCTAAACCTAGATCACTGAACGACATCCGTATCGTCTCCTTAGCCAAGTCGACATTTTAAACCCCCATATCGGTACTTGTCCATATATCAAATACGGACCACACTAGCCGTAGTATAGCCGTATCAAATAAGTAGACTACTGCCACAAATCAAACCTATATTGTGGTGTTTATATTCTAAACTGGAGCTATACTCTACAAGATAAATGTAGTATGTACAGTACGTACCACACCGCCTTGTTGTCGACAACGTCACTGGAAGCCGACGGCGACAGCGCGTCATCCAAGACGGACCGACTGACCAACTCAAATTGTTGGGCTGGGGGTAGGTAGTACTTTCGAATGAGGTTCGAGTGCCACGTCACAGCTCCTGGGTCAGTGGTGGCTGCGGTTATGCGACCGCACAACGTACACGCGTCGTCAATGTGCTCCAGTACCTAATTGCAGAACAAGTTGTTGTGCAACGTCTGCAGTATTCGTAGTACAAAGAAGTACCTCGTGCATACCAAACGGCATGTGCGACGACTGGCTTTGCCCCATGGTCTGCCACAGCGCGACGCCGCTAACGTCACGTGATTCACCAGCTCAAACACAATAGATCCATTGGCTTGAGGTTGAAACCGAGCTCGGAACGAGTCGTCCGCGCGGTCGAGCACGCCGGCGCGGAGGAACGTATGGTGCATCCGCCGACGTTGGCGATCCGCGATCGCGTGGATGGCCGCTGTCCGGGGCGACGAATGGGCAATCAGCGTGTATCTCTGCCGACTCGACATCTCGAAAACACTAATAGAACCACAAGGTGACGTTGGATTTCGGGTGGTGTTGAATGGGCAATGTAGTACCTCGAGCGGCCGAGGTTTCTTACGAAACACGCGCTACATGTGCTCGATAAACGTGGCCTGCTGAGATACGGTGTCATGAAGCTCATCGTTGTCGTGGAGTGCTTTGAGCTTCTCCGCACGCTCGACGGCCGCCGCGACTTGCCAGAATGACGACGAGGCCCCACTTGATGACGCAGTCGACTGGTGGTGCAAGGCCTTCAATTGTCGCACCTCCTCATGGAGACACTGCAACTCCTGCTTTTGACGCACCTCAAACGACGTGCGTTTCGACTTCTTGGACACCGGTGGCGGCGGTGCCTCTTCCTTTGTCGGGGGACGGGGTTAGCACTGCTAACCCCGTCCCCATTGCGTGCTAACTTGCACGCAATGCTTTTGCGCCTTCATGGTTCGTGCTGTGATCGTCTGGAACATCGTCCAGTAACTCGCACACGCGCAAGAGCTGGTCGGTCAACAGGTCGTCACTTGCAACCAGGAACGGCAAGTTCTCCAGGATAGACGGCCACGGTACCTCGTCACTATCCCCCATCGTCGTGTCGTCGTGTTGAACCTTGGTGTGGATAAATTACAATCGTCGAAATATATTAAATCCTGGTCAAAATATCGCTCTGGTTTTGTACGTCAAAATCGACTTTACGACGTTTTTTCGGTCAAATCTCATACTATTATATTATTAATATAAAATTCGATGGAAATTTCATAGTATACAGTCCTGATGTAAACTATAGACGCACGTGAATTTTTGACATTTCTCAAAACTTATTTCGATTTGAAGCTCACTGATTTGATATGATACTTTATTTAAGTTTCGAAATACATTGTTGGTGACAAAACTTTAAAATTCGAAGTACTATTTTTGAAAATTACAAAAAACCATTTTTCAGGGTGATGCAAATTATAGACGCACTTTTTTCAGAGCAGTTATTTATCAATTGCATTACCGTTTCTCAACACTACTTGGGCCATCCTAGTTGCCTAGTTGGCATTCCATCAACAAGCTTACGCAAATAGGCTTGGCTGATTTGATCCCAGGAAACACGAATTTGAGCCTTGAGTTCGTCCACAGTAGAAAATTGACGGCCATTCTCGTAAACTTTCCACGCCAATTGACCCCAAACGTTTTCAATTGGGTTTAAATCCGGGCTCTTAGCAGGCCATTCCATCAATAAAACACCGCTTCGCTCAATGTGCGCTTTTGTAGCTCGCGACACATGGATTGAAGCGTTGTCTTGTTGAAAAATAGGCTCCACAACCCCAAAATTTCGACGCAGGTTTCCCAAAAACGGCAACAAGTGCATGTCAAGAGTGCGACAGTAACTTGCACTGTTTTGCTTTCCTTCAAGGATAGCAAGCTCGCTTCGTCCATCAGCGCTCATGCCAGCCCAAATCATGACACTGCCGCCACCGCTCACGCGCTTGGTGTAGATTTCTTCCTCCTTCCTGAGGTCGTGCCAGTAATATTG